TATATATATATATATTAATGCTAATCAAGTTGAATTGCTATTGTAACCAATTTAACATTTAGGTGTATTTAACTATATGGATCAAAATTAATTACTTGCTAGAAGTTATGGAACAAAATTTTAAGTAGGTTTATACAGTTGCTACATTTGTAAGATAATTACTAGATGTCTATGCTTAATTGGATTGATTAATTCTTAGTTTGGCATTCAAATACTATAGGAGAGTTAGTAACACATCTTCTAATACACTCATCTTAATATATTTTAATTTATTAGTTATAATTTATTAAAAATTATAAAATTAAAAGAGAGGAAGAAAGAGGATTCTTAAATAAAGTGTGTGACTCACAAATTTTTGTATTTTTAAAAAGTTTTAACCAATAAAAAAATTTGTTCAAAAGAGTATGTCAGATAATGTATTTCTAACATTTCTCCAAATATTTTTATCCAATTACCTACGGTGTGCCAATAAATACATATATATTGAGCAACATGTGGATAATAAAAAAATATAAAGGTTAAATGGTCATGTATTAATAATGTAAATTTTTTACAATTATCTAATAAAAACCATTGCTGGCATATCTTTTAAGATAATTATTATAAAAGTTGATTAATAAAATTATCAATCATGTTGATTTGTAAATGAATGATCCAACATGAAATTATTTTTTTAAATTAATCATCCTACAACGTATGAATAGATGGTATGTCTAACTGCTATGTTAAGCCAATATAGATTGATAAAGCATGTATAAGTTTCTATGTATTTTTACTCATAATTTTTATTGCTATTTTTAACTTTTAAAAATATTAAAATAACTGTAATTTAAAAAGAAAAAAAAAATATAGATTGATAAAAATAAAGTCAAGGAAAATATAGTCCAGGCAAATAGAAGGTTAATAAAAGAAAATAAATAAATAAATAAAATATTTTAAAAAAATATTTTTTGAAAATGTCGTGTCATATGTCACGTAAAGACCAATTTTTATATTATAATTAAATGGAAAATTGGTTGAAAGAATATTCGTTTGAAATTAAAACATGATAACTAGAGACGTAATTGCTATCTCTCAATCAATTTTAATGTCTCCTCTATTCAAAATCAAAGGCCATTCTCAGCCTCATACTTGATAGACAGATTCATAGTCTAATTGCCAAAATTTACAACTAACCTATATATAGTTGAATCTTTCTGTAATTGACTTTAGCAAATCTTATCTGTCATCTGTGGTGCGTAGCTCATCTACAGGTTACAACTACACCACAAGTTAAGAACCACTACTAATTCATTTCTCCAATATTATATTCGGAATATATATATATATATATATATATATATATGAAATTTCATTCACAAACGATAAGATTAAAATAAAATATATAAATATAGAACAATTCTTGCTTTATAAATCAAATTCATCCAACTCATATTTTAATCCTAACCAGTCAGATCCATTAATTAAAAGATCATGAACAATTTATTCACACATCAAATTAACTCAATAGAATTAGACATTAAGAGGTATATTGAAAAAAATTGAAAATTCACATTGACTAAAGACAAAACTAAAATAAAATATATATAAATATGAAAAAAAAAATTTATAAATTATTTTTGTAAAATTAAATTAAGTGAAAACTTATATTCAAAGAGATATGTATCCATTATATTTATGTTTCCAAGCATGTATATTATCAGCTTCATTCAATATTTTTTCACACTTTTTTTTTCTTGAAAATAAAATAAAGAAGTTTCTTCGCTTAATTATTTGTTTACTATATAGGTCTATATTTTATTCGTTCATTTTTCAATTTATATCTCCCGCCATCGATCAGAATTTAAATAGTCGATCCACGGCAAACAATTTGTTGATTTGTTTTATGTAATAGAACTATTTGACTTGAAATGACTCCATCACGGGGCATGTAGGTGATATGGGAATAATCAATAATGGTGAATACAAGTGGTCACGACTTATATCTTTTAAATTAAGTTATTTAAGATTTAAATGTAAATTTTAAATATGAAATAAATTATATTAAAAGATGAATATTTACTTTGTGTATATTCATAGTCAATAATAAAGGTTAATCACTAGTTTCAATGATGGATATTTCATATTAATAAGATCACTAAAAAAATATATGTTAGAATACAATCAAAGTCTTAGATCATTAGAATAAAAAAATGAACATAGGTTTGTAAACACATGTATGTCTCCATTGATTTGTGACTTTTGGGGTAAACAATATCATGAAAGCTGAAGCCCAAGATAGATCTTATAACATGTTAATGTGTAAACACATGTGTGTGAACATTTGATACTCAAAGGTTTCAATTAAGTAATTAGTTAAACAAGTATGGTGAAGTTGATAGGTGAATTTAGGCATATGATCCGTTATATCGATAATATAAGTATTTAAAATATGATTAAACTTTATGGACTACCAGAATTACTTCTCAACCAAAA